CATCTATTTTCTGATCTGAAATTTTGTAAGGGAGATGCTGACTTGTCTTGCTCTTCTTCGCTTCTATTCTCGCTTCTGTAACCTACGTGTGAAACAATCACACGCTAAGTTTATGACTTAGTGAGGCATAAACACACCGACTATAGCATATCATAACTAATTCCTATTATGCACATTTCATGTAATCATGATAAACCATAAAATGCATCCAAACAAAGCTATATACACCATCATCATATAATTCTCATTATGCATATTGTTTCACAAAGAAATACCCATATCATCATATAATTCTGGTAACATATTTCTTAACACAAAACATATAAAGCGTATGTAATAAATTTCTCATTATCTCTTTAATAGCCTTATTTTCTTCTTTATCTTTTAGTCATATGTTCTTGTACATATTCTTCTTAACCAAGCTATATACACATCACCATCATATCACATATATCATTTCACCATAAAGATTACAAACAAAGCACATAATATCATACAAGGTTCTTTTATATCATCTTCTTTATTAGCCCATGTACACATGTGAGAACTATAGATATGTGAGTCTATAGAGGCTGTGCACTAATGTTGTCACCACAGCTCGTATAAATGCACCGAAGTGCCACGTAGAATTGCACCTAAGTGCCGCGTAGAAATGCACTGAAGTGCCATATAAGATGTCCCTAAGGTCCACGTAGAAAATTCCTTTAGATCCATATACATATTCCAAGGACCAATTATGTGTCTCAAAAGACCTCATACATGTTCCAAAGGATACATATATGTCCCGAAAGACCGCGTAGACCCTCGACTCTTGGTATGCCAACTATAACCCTAGCTCTCATGACACATATCATGGGCATTATCTTTTATATCCTTTTTCATATTCATGTAAACATATCACATATTCATATAAACTCGTAGCTTCATTTACATATACATGTAATCACGTAGTTCATGTAAATTCTCATATCATATCATTTCATATTCATATATCTCATAGCATATAACACTTCTCATGTGTTCCTATAAACATGTCATACATATCAAGCATGTTTACACAACTCATTTCTATATAACTTACATGAATCTATATTTTTTTCATATACCCATATAATCATATAATATAATATTTCATATAACCTCATGTATCACATCACATAGATACATACTCAAGTACTCATAGCTACATATCACTTAAATTATTCATATTTACATAATTCATGGTCATATAACTTCTATCACCAAGTCACTTATCTTATCTCCTATTCTCATATGTTTATATTTATCATATAACACATAAGATTTATTGCATATTTATATCGCATTCCTACATCACTAATTCATAATATAATTTATATCGTATCATCTATCTTATTCTTTATTTCTTAGTATGCACTTACATTACATAACCTATATTATACTTATAAACATATATATATTACTTCTATTATTTATTTTATATACAAATTAATCTATTTACTTAATTCAATTCCATATAACTCCTATAATCTTCTCATATCACTCCATAGCTTTTATCATACAACTAATGTATCATAATTTTATTTAAGCATATGAATCTTTCCCATCTATCTTATCCTATATGTTCATATTATCACTTAATTGATCATACTACTATGTACTTGCCCAACTCACCTTCTTATTATTTATGTAACCTTTTCCTTTGCTTACTTAGTTCATATCATTTCTCATAAACTCACTTTTACCATATTCTCATATTATTACTTAAGTTATCTCATATCATGTATTCACGTAGTTATATTTCATTTCTATATATATATCAAAGTTCTTATCTTTTATATTCATATAATTTATTAGCATCTAATATTGTTTATATCATCATAACATAGCATATATTCATGTCAACCATATAATACATATATACAATAACATGTCAACACATATAATTCATACACACATATACTTCTATTTATGAATTCATGCATTTTACTATTGGAAATAGACTTGTCGCAAGTCTTATTTCCATTTAACATCATAAACTACTAATATGCACTCACCTTGACCTCACTAAGTTCCAATCCACTTTTATGATTTCCTTTCTTCCGATCGAATCTTAACTTGATAATCGTTCCAGAACTTGTTCGTGCTCGATATATACACAATCATGTATTTATACAATCAATATCCAATTGATATACTATAATCTATCACTTCTTAGACTAAGAGAAAAGCTAATTTCATCTTTTAATGAAGGCATGCATCGATGCACACAACCCAGAATTTACATTTTAAGCACGAAATCCACTCTCTTTAAGCTTAACTCTTCATCTTTCACCTCCTTTAATATTCCTAACTTTCATATACATACTTAAACTCATTTCTACTCCATAATCACTTCTTTAAACTCAAAATTCTATCTTCCATATGAAATCCAAGAATCATACTAAATTTTCTACTTATTCTAAATTCAATTCCATCACTTCATATCCTTTAATTAAGTTGATGACAAGTCAAATTTGATCTCAAATTCAACTTATCAATTCTTTTCTAGAAATTCATCTAAAACCTTCTTCTCTTTAATTTCTTCTATATCTTTCATCTTGTTGTTTTAGAACAAATTAAGCATTCCTTAAGCTTAATTATCATCTAATGATCATAACACAACCTTAAAATCAATAATTAATCAACAAACAAAGAAACTCACCTTTGAGTCAAGCCTTCACGTATAAGAAGAAGAAGAGAAGAGAACTCTGGAACCTTTTCTCTCTTCCCACGTGATTTCCTTATCTTATAAGGAAAATAAAAATCTTCCTTGTCAAATGACCCTTTTGCCCTTCAATTCATCTTATAATTACTAAAAAATTTATGATTTATTTCCAAATAAATCATTGAACTAATCCATGGTTCTACTCTAGTCACCAAATTCTAAAACTTTACAATTTAATCACTAACCCGGTATTGAGGATGTTATATTTTGTTCTTAAAATTCAAGTCAGAAGTTGTTGGAGCATTCTGGAAATTTAAAAGAATGGTGGAAAATCAAAGTGGCAATCACATTCAAATATTAAGGTCTGATAATGACAAGGAGTATACGTCAGCAAATTTCAATGCATTTTGTAAAGAAGCTGGCATTGAGCATCAGTTGACAGCTCCTTATTTGCCGTAGCAAAATGGAGTTAGTGAAAGGCGAAACAAGTACATTTTAGAAATGACTAGATGTATGAAAAGAATTTACCCAAGAAGTTCAGGACAGAGGCAGCTCATATCGTGATTTTTCTGCGGAATAGATTGACCACAAAAGAAGTCAATGACCAAACACCTTATAAGGCTTGGTTTGGTCATAAACCTTATAAAGAGAAAACACCTTATGATAATATGAGTATTTCAAGCTATATTTTCAGTTTTGGACCTGATTTTTTATTGAACTCGAAGAAGCAAGAAATTATGACCCAACCCCTTGCTAAAGCAAATTTATTGTTGCAACATCCACTGTTAATCAAGCTTTGTGGTTGAGAAAATTATTAAGTGATCTCAATCTTGAACAGAAAGAGAGCAATAAGGTCTTTGTTGATAGTCAAGTTGCCATAGCAATTTCTCACAACCCAATATTTCATAGGAAGATAAAGCATTTCAACATTAAACTTTTCTTTTTGAGATAAGTGCAAAAAGAAGGTGATGTTATATTGGTTCATTGCAAAACAGATGAGCAACTTGCAGATATCTTCACCAAACCACTGCTAGTAAGCAAATTTGAAGTTTTGAGAATAAGACTTGGTGTTTGCAGCTCCTAAAGTAATGAGGAGTGTTAGTTTATGTGCTTTAGGACTACTTCTACTTTTAGATTTATTTGTTATTTGTGTGTTGTTTAAGTTCATGAGAAAGTTATTCATGGATAGTTGCTTAAATTTAGAAACATGTTGTTAGTGGGTTGTTGATTTCATTATATTTAAATTATGAATGATTGCTGAATAAAAAATATCGTCCAGTTTCCTTCATCTATTGATTTTTCTTTTCTTTAAAAATACCAACAATTAATGACAACCGAGTTCTACAATCCTAATCAGCTCTACAATTAATTTCAAATGGCTCATTAATTTACTGATTCGGTGGTCTTTCAGCGATCTTAGGTGCAATTGTACAAAGCTCAGTACATATTATTCATTTCAATTGTGTAAGCCATTACTTCAGGCTCCATGTTTAATGCTCAGCAACTTATTCGCTTTGTAATGCTTGTCGCAAGGTGGAATGGTAATTTGTCTTCGGTTTTCCTCTATGTATGCATGGCTCAGTAATTTTAGTCGACACGGTGACTCGCTCATACAGTACATCCACTTAAATAAAGGGTCATAGTTTCTTTTTGGTTTAAATATGTCAGAGGTCCTTAAATTATCTCAGAATTTTAAAACCTTTAACTTCCATTACAGAAAGTAATGTTTCCCGGGATCCAACACCAAATCCAACTTCTAGCAAGTAGCATGTACACCATTTCATTGTCTCAGATTCTATTACTAGTCAAAACCAATTCGTAGGCAAACAATTTGATGCTTATGGCTCTACTTTGATAGGCAACCACAACATATTTCCTCAGTCCCTTGGATTGTTTCCCAGCATTCAATCTCTTGGGGAAAGAATGTCAAAATTAATGGACCTTCTTCCATATCCATTGTCACTGAGGAATCCGAGTTTAGCCAGACCAGACACCTGAAGATCTTCTTGAAGCGGCAAACCAGTCGAACTCGAACCACCCAACTCAAAGGCTCTCACTATCATTCGTTCTCGCATGCTTGGTTCATCCTTGAATTCTAATTTTGCAAGTTCCAGTTACTTGCTCTTCAGGCCAGAAGATGCAAGCTGTGACTACTCTTTCACAAGTTATGCACTTGCTGCTTCATCTTCCAACGCATTACACCGACTACATAGGGTCAGATCTTTTGCCCGTGCTATATCAAATTCAAGATATCCAAGGCCAATTCAGTCCCTTATGGATGAACTAGTTAATGTTGGCTGCAAAAATATTGAGGAAAACCATGTTGGGAAGTTATCTTTAGGTGATATAGCAGGTGGCTCAAGACTTTCCTCTGAACTAAAAGCAGAATTCTGCAGCAACGAGATAGTATTGCCTGAAAAACATGAGCTTCAAATCAGACTTTCAAAGCTAATTGGATTACTGGAGGAGGTTTATCATGATCCTTGTAACTTTGTCTTGTTAGTTATGTTTGAACTTGGTTCATACTTCTAACTTCATTATTGGTTCATTTCCAGGTTGAGGTAGGATACGAAAAATACCACCAGCAAATGGAAGAAGTAGTTTCATTATTTGAATCACTTGCTGGTATAGGAGCAGCATGGTCTTATACGGCTTTGGCACTTCAAGCAATGTCCAAAACATTTTGGCAATCTAAGAGACGCCATAATATCTCAAATAAATGCCATTAGAAGAAAACTATCGCGTTATTTACCCAGAATCAACCGCGGATTATCGCAATTTAGCATGTTCGATCAAGATTCTACACAGAACGGACTGTCTCTTCAACAGCTTAGGATGACCCCAAGCCAAAGGCAATCTTGGAGGCCTATTAGAGGATTGCCAGAAACCTCCGTAGCAGTCCTTCGGTATTGGCTATTCGAACACTTCCTTCACCCGTAAGCTTGTTTAAGTGATTAAGTCCCATCCAAATGTATGTGACACATTAATTCTTACCATTTGTTGAAGAGAAAATAACTTCAGTGACCGAAAATGTCTTATAATATACGATTTTAACCAACTTTTTTTGGATTTGCGAAAATAACCAACAAATTCGCAACGCGATCTCAAATTCGTAACACGAACTCCAATTTCGCAACATAATTTCCAAATTCGCAACTCAGTTTTGAAATTCGCAACTCAGTTTTGAAATTCGCAACGCAATTTTCTAAATTCGCAATGTGGTTTTCAAATTCGCAACGCGGTTTTCAAATTCGCAACACGGTTTTCAAATTCGCAACACAAACTCCAATTTCGCAACGCAGTTTCCAAATTCGCAACTCGATTTCTGAATTCGTAACGCGAATTTCTTTTTCGCAACTCGATTTCTGAATTCGCAACACGAATTTTTTTTAGCAACGCGATTTTTAAATTCGCAACACAAGTTTCATTTTCACAACAAGATTTTCTAATTCGCAACACGAATTTTGTTTTCGCAACTCAATTTCCGAATTCGCAACATGAATTTTAATTTCGCAACAACTTTTATTTTCGCAAAACAAATAGTATATAAACTACGCAGCAGTAGCAACTCATAACCTAAATCCCTAAATCGCAATTCATTCCATCTCCATCTCTCACTCTCTCCTGCGACATCCGTTCCTATATCTAACAACATCCTTCCCCATCTCTAATTTGTTTTACATAATTTTATTTCTATATAATTTTTCAATGATTTCTCTCCTAAATTATCAACTATCAACTTAATAAAGGTATGTTTTTCTCTAAGTAGTGATGATATCTAGTTTATAGCTGTTTGTTTAGTAAATTAATTTACAATTTGTAGAATGAAATCATCTAATGTTAATCATGTTTGGATAGATTTGTGTTATGGAGGGTCATGGGAGAATGTTAATGGTGTTTTACAATATATGCCTTTACCCATGAATCTTCAACTAAAACTGTCATTAAAAAATTTAACTTATGAAACTCTAATGTTACGTGTTTCAAAGAAATTTAATTTAGAGCTTCTAAGTGGATTTAAGTTATCTTATCAGAGAAAATGTAAAGTTTATTTGTTAACCGACAATGAAGATGTTGAACGATTCATTGCTTACATTAGTGTTTCGTAAGATGATGTTACATTGTATGTTGTTGAACCTAGAAGTAGTGAAGTTGGGTCAGTAACGTGTAGTAATCAATTAAGTTATTCAGCCCCAGATTATGGTGCTCACAATGTACAACGTTGTTATCAACCTCAAAATTTCATGGTTCCACCACAATTTCATCACCAAGAAAATTTTGTTTCACCACATTTCCAATACCAAACACAATCTCAAAACCCACAGCCTTTCCCTAATCCAAATCCCAATCAACTTTCAGCACCAAATTTCGGTTTTCGTATTGACCAGTTACACGATGATGAGCCAACAGAAAAAAATGTGAGTACTAGTCAATATTCGAAATTTGATCTTGGTCAATACCTGGACTTTGATCTTGGTCAATACTCGATTTTGATGATGTTTCAGAAGAAGAAATAGACCCTGCGTGTAATGATTTTGATATTGGTCAATTCCCGAATTTTGATGATGAAACAGTCGCTGCCGAGGAAGATGTTGATAATAATGAGAAGAAGTTACGGCTGTGAATGAACATGTTGAACATCCATTCTATAATTCATATAACCTAAAGAAGAATAAGAAGAAGTCCCGAAGAAAAGAAAAAGAACAAAATGCCACGGGAGTATAACTGGAATATGCCAGAATTACTTCAGATACCGGAAGAAGAGTTGGTAAAGATAGCAGTTGATTGTTACACAAAAGTTATTCGTATCAAGAAATATGATTGTTTTGATACAAAGGAAGACTTGAAGATAGCTTTGTATACGAAATGTGTGGAAGATGGCTATCAACTAAAAGTTAACAAATCAAGCAAAGATCGTTTCGAAACAAAGTGTAGGATTGACAAAAATTGTATATGGCGTATGATTGCAAAGAGGATAAAATATTGCGAAATGTTTCAAGTTAGGACTTTTATTGATAAACATACATGTTCAAGAACCCAAGTTTTTCCTCACCATAGACAGACAAACAAAAAGGTGTTGGGTGGTTTTCTGGCTAAGTTAATGTTTTTGAATGGCAGGGTATATCGGGGATATGAAATTATGATTGACATGAATGTTCGGTTCAAGATTAGTATCTCATATTCTCAAGCTTGGAGAGCCAAATGTTATGCCTTGGAATTGTTGAGGGGGTCGCCGGAAGCATCGTTTTCCCAACTGCCGGCTTATTGTCACAATTTAAAGCTGAACAATTCTGGGTCGGTAACTCATATCAAAACAGATAAGATGGACGTTTTGAGTTGTGTTTATCGCCATTGGTGCTACGGTTAGTAAATCAATATAATTTTGTTGACTCATTTTTGTTAGTTACATGTATTTCACATTTAAATGATTATATTTATTGTGTATATTATTTTGTAGATTCGTTCGTTTATTACTTGCATGCGTCCAATTATTATAGTTGACGGAGCACATTTGAAAGGTCGATACCTTGGAGTAAACTTATTAGCAGTAGCCATGGATGCTAACAATGGGATACTGCCAATAACTTACGGGGTTGGCAAATCTGAAACCTCTGATTCATGGACATGGTTTATGGGGCATCTTAGGGATTGCATAGGTCCTATTAGCAATATGACAATCATATCCGATAGGGAAAAATCAATTGACAACGCTATTAGAAGGTGTTTCCCAGATGTTTTTTATGGACTTTGTGGTGTTCATTGTACAGATCTAAAATCAAGGTCTGCTGGTATAAAAACTCACAAATGGACATACTGGAAGGCTGTAAAAGCTTATCGGGAAGTGGATTTTAATAAGCATATAAATTGTTTAAGACTTGTTTTGCCTCAATGTGCTCAAACACTAGAAGATGTCGGGTTTGAAAGATGGTCAATAGTACATGGAGCAAGATATGGTTTCATGACGTCTAATAGTGTAGAATCAATCAACGCTCTAAGTCGTCATTCCTGAAAATTACCCATTACTATGTTAATGGAGTTTTTTCGAGCCTCTATTCAACAGTGGTACTACAAGAAAAAAAATCATGCATGTATTATTTCTTTAAATTCGTAACTTATCATATTTAATAGATTTTACTAAGAATTATTTATTTAAATTTATAGGAACATTGGAACGTTGTGTTACACCCTGGACTGAAAAAAAGATAACGAAACGTGTTGTGAAGTCAACGTCATGGAGAGTTGAACCATGTTCAAACATTGGATAATGACTTAAATGGCTTGTCGATCTAAATGCAAAGACGTGTAGTTATATGAAATGGAAACATCTGGTTATCCGTATGGCCATGTTATAAAAGTTGCTCTTCATCTAAACCAAGATGATTCAAGCGCATACGCTATGGATTGCTACACTGCAAAAGTATATTGACAGACTTATGTCGAGATTGTCTACCCTATTCCACATCCTTCTGAGTGAGAGATACCAGATTACTTACAAACAGTTTTGCCACCAGTCATAGACAGAAGGATACCTGGCCGACCAAAAAATCACGATCGTATACCGTCTAAGGGTGAAGAGAAGAAGATATCGACATGTAGTCGGTGCAAGGAAAGATGTCATATAAGGTTGACCTATGGATCACCAGTGCCATCACAATCACATTTTCCTCTACCAAAATATGGATCCTCATCAAAATCTAAAGCTCATATGGTGCTAAGCAAAAGGAAATCAAAAATCACAATCAAAATCAAAATCAAAATCCAATCACAACCGCCTTCATCTTTTGGAACTATTAACTTAGGTGATTTTAAAATGTAAATGTTGTATTATATGTATTTTATGTGTGAAAGGCATGCATTAGTAACTTGAGTTTGAACATTGTATGATCTGTTCAGTTGTTATCACTCATCAGATTTTGTCTGTTATCTTTTTGAAGGTGTTTGCCTTAAATTGAAACTAGAAAAAAGATGGTTATTATGAACTTCTCCGATTCACAACTCAAATTCGTAACTCAATAAAATTCGCAACGCGAAAATAAAATTCGCAACACGAAAATCGCAACGCGAATTTGATTTTCGCGTTGCGAATTTGATTTTATTAAAGGTAGTGTGCCTTCAACAGGTCTTTTTTGCCTTCAACATAATGCAGATTGAAATTAAACAAAAAAACAATTTTTATTTACACTTTACAGCACATTGATACATCAATTTTCCCCAGACAGTACATCTAAATGTTCCTAACAATAGGGAGCTTACATACATTGGTCAGAAATTATAACATCTGGAATGATTAACCTGCAGAAACGTTATGGCCATGAGATTTTCTACACATCCAAAACCAACAAATATGAGCTGAAATTATTGAATTATAGGTACTTAACCAAACATTTTCAAACTACTTTTGATCAATATTTCATCTAAAATATAGAGTAACATGTTAACAACTCTTACTCAAACTTACCAATAAAAAATGGTTGTTTATTCACACTTTCACACCCGGATGCAAGTAGGTAACGTCTCGATATATCTCTCTAACCATATAATACCGAAACCACAACCCTACTGCACCTCTATCTTATCTGTCGGAGGTAAAAATTGTTTACCTCCTCTCGTCATACGTTCCAAGCACATGCATACAAGAGGACCACAATCCCTCTGGCTCCCGACGTTTATTGTGGCATTGTCTTATCTCTCATCATTGTAACTTTTAACTTATTTGGCTTCTTGTTTCCTGGATTAGTCCAATAAGCAATCACGTTCAAGTATTTAGCCAAAAGATCACTTCATCCCCTATAAATAATATCTTTCAAATCAGACAATGGTATGTAATTCAGCATGCTGTCATATATATGTCTTCAGGGATAGGAGCTGAAGCTCGACGGGATTTCAATGACGATGTTCCATAACAGGGATAAACACCTGGAATATAATATATTAA